TATCCAGTGATGTCAGCAGGGTGTTGAAGTCCCTGCTATGATTGCATTGCTGTTTGTTTCTCTTTGAAGTCTTCCAGAAGATTTTAATATATGTGGTGCTCCTATATTTGGTGCATATATGATAATCAAAGTTATATTTTCTGTTGGATAGATACTTTCAATATTATGTAGTGGCCTTCTTTGTCTCTAATTATGGCCTTCATTTTGAAATCTACTTTTTTAGAGATGAGTATTGCAATGCCACCTTTTTTTTCAATCTGTTAGCTTGAAAGACTTTTTTTTCATCTCTTCACTTTCAACCTATGTGAGTCTTTTGTTGTGAGGTGAGTCTCTTGTAAACAACATATATGTGAGTCATGCTTCCTTATCCAGTCAGCTACTGTGTCTTTTTCTCATTTTTTATTTTTATTTATTTTGTATTAATTAATTAATTTATTTTTGTTACAGATGTTTCTCCTTTTTCCTCCACTGATACCACCCTCTCCCCTTCCCCGTCTTGTTCCCAGCTTTGTTGTCCATGTCCACTGTTCATGCATACATGCATATAAGTTCTGGGGTTTATCTCTCCCCCACAACACTCTCTTCTGGAAATTGTCAGTCTGTATTGCACTTCCATGTTTCTGGGACTACCCCATTCCTCAGACTGTTATGTTCATTATATTCCACAAATAAGTGAGATCATATGATACCTGTCTTTCTCTCTTTGGCTGGTTTTACAGTATAATACTTTCCAGGGTCCTCCATGTCGTCTCAAAAGATAAGAGATCTTTCTTTCTTACAGCTGCATAGTACTCCGTTGTGTATATGTACCACAGATTTTTGATCCATTCGTCTACTTGTGGACATTTGGGCTGTTTCCAGATCTTAGCTATTATAAATAGTGCTGCTACAAACATGGGGGTACATATATTCTTTCTGATTGGTTTCAGGCTTCTTAGGGTATATTCCTAGAAGTGGGATCACTGGGTAAAATGAAAGTTCAATTTTTAATTTTTTGAGATAACACCATATTGTATTCCATAGTGGCTGCACCAGTCTGCATTCCCACCAGCAGTGTACTAGAGTCCCCTTTTCTCCACACCCTCGCCAACACTAGTTGTTTGATGATTTGTTGATGGCGGCCAATTTGAGAGGTATTAGGTGATACCTCATTGTTGTCTTAATTTCCATCTATATGATGATTAGTGATGTTGAGCATTATTTCATATGTTTTTACCATTTGTAAGTCCGGTTTGAAGAGGTGTCTATTTACTTCCTCTGTCCATTTTTTAATTGACTTCTTTGTCTTCCTTTTGTGGAGTTGTATGAGCACTCTCTATATATATTGGAAATTAACCCCTTATCTGATATATCATTGGTAATTATGCTCTCCCATACAGTGTGTAACCTTTCCAGTTTGATGATTTTATCTTTCGCTGTGCAGAAGCTTTTTAGTTTGATGTAGTCCCATGTGTTCCTTTTCTCCTTTGTTTCTATTGCCTTAGGTGATATATCACTGAAAATTCTGCTGCGTATGATGTCTGAAATTTTGTTTCCTACAGTTTCTTCTAGGATTTTAATGGATTCATGAGTTACATTAAAGTCTTTTATCCATTTTGAGTTTATTCTTCTGTAGGGTATAAGTTGATGGCCTAGTTTCAGTTTTCAGCATGTAGCTGTCCAATTTTCCCAATACCATTTTTAAAGAGGCTGTCCTAACTGCACTGTGTACTCTTGCCACCTTTGTCAAATATTAATTGAGCATTTTGCCCTGGGTCCATTTCTGGGTTCTCTGTTCTGTTCCACTGGTCTGTATGCCTGTTCTTGTGCCAGTACCAGGCTGTTTTGATTACAGTGGCTTTGTAGTAACCTGAATTCTGGTAATGTGATCCCTCCAACTTTGTTATTCTTTTCAAGAGTGCTGTGGCTATTGGAGGTCTTTTTTGGTTCCATATGAACTTTTGAAGTAATTGTTCTAATTCTGTGAAGTATGCCATTGTATTTAATGAGAATGGCATTGAATCTACAGATTGTTTTGGGTAATATGGACATTTTAATGATGCTAATTCTTCCAATCCATGAACAGGGTATGTCCTTCCACTTTTTTGTATCTTCCTCTATTTCTTTTTTCAATGACCATTAGTTTTCTGCGAATAGGTCCATTATTTCTTTGGTTAAGTTTATTCCTAGGTATCTTAATTTTTTTGCCACAATGGTAAATGGGATTGTTTTCATAGTTTCTATTTCTGTGAGTTCATCATTGCTCTATAAGAATGCCATCGATTTCTTGACGTTTTTTGTATCCTGCTACATTTCCAAATTCATTTATTAAGTCTAGTGCATTTTTGATGGATTCCTTGGGGTTTTCTATATATAGTATCATGTCATCTGCAAATAATGACTCCTTTCCAATTTGGATCCCTTTTATGTTTTCTTCCTGTCTGATTGCTGTGGCTAAGACTTCTAGTACTACGTTAAATAAGAGTGGCGGAAGTGGGCATCCTTGCCTTGTTCCTGTTCTTAAGGAAAATGCTTTTAGTTTTTGCCCATTGAGTATGATGTTGGCTGTAGGTCTTTCATATATGGCCTTTATTATGTCGACATATGATCCCTCTATTCCCACATTGCTGATCATTTTGATCAGAAATGAAGGCTGGGTTTTGTCAAAGGCTTTTTCGGCATCTATTAATATGATCGTGAGGTTTTTATTCTTCATTTTATTTATGTGGTGTATCAGTTTATTGATTTGCAAATATTGTACCAAACTTGCATCCCTGGGATGAACCCCAATTTGCCATGGTGGATAATATTTTTGGTGTATTGCTGAATCCAATTTGCTAGTATTTTGTCCAGGATTTTGGCATCTATGTTCATCAGAGATGTTGGCGTGTAGTTTTCTTTCTTTGTATTGTCCTTATTTAGTTTTGGAATTAGAATTAGGTTACCTTCATAAAATGAGTTTGGAAGTCTTCTTCTTCTTGAATTTTTTTAAATAGTTTTAGGAGAATGGGTGTTAGTTCTTATTTGAATGTTCGCTAAAATTCCCCCATGAAGCCATCCGGGCCTGGGCTTTTGTTTGCTAGGAAAATCTTGATTCCATCTTCAATTTATTCTGTTGTTATTGGTCTGTTCACGTTTTCTATTTCTATCTGGTCCAGTTTAGGGAGACTATGTGTTTCTAGAAATTTGCCCATTTTGCTTAGATTGTCGAATTTTTTGCCATATAATTGTTCATAATAGTTGTTAATGATCTTTTGTATTTCTGTGGTGTCAGTTGTTACTTCTCTTCTTTCATTTCTGATTTTGTGTATTTGGGTTCTCTCTCTTTGTTTCTTGGTGAATCTAGCTAAGGGTCCATCAATCTTTTTTATCTTTTCGAAAAATCAGCTCTTTGTTTCATTGATCCTTTGAATTGTTTTGTTTTGTTTTTTGTCTCTTTGTCATTTATTTCTGCCCCGATCTTTACTATTTCCTTCCTTCTACTTGCTCTGGGGTTTTCTTTTTGTTTGCTCTCTAGTTTTTTAAGTTGTGTGGTTAAATAGTCTATTAGAGATTTTTCTTATTTTTTGAGGTAGGCCTGTAGTGCTATGAACTTCCCTCTCAGAACTGCTTTTGCTGCATCCCATAGATTTTGTGTTGTGTCGTCATTTTCATTGTTTTCTAGGAAGTTTTTAATTTCTTCCTTGATCTCCTTGGTAACCCATTCATTGTTTAATAACATGCTATTTAGCTTCCATGAGTCATATGTCTCGGTATGTTCTTCTGGCAATTGATTTCTAGTTTCAAGCCATTGTGATCTGAGAAGATGCTTGATATGATTTCAGTCTTCTTGTACTTGTAGAGACTTAGTTTGTGCCCTGACATGTGGTCTATCTTTGAGAATGTCCCATGTGCACTTGAGAAGAATGTGAGTTCTGTAGTTTTGGGGTATAATTCTCTGTAGATATCTATTAAATCCATTTGTTCTAGTGCTTCATTTAGAGTCTCTGATTCCTTGCTAATTTTTTGTCTAGAGGATCTATCCAGTGATGTCAGCGGGGTGTTGATGTCCCCTGCTATGATTGTATTGCTATCGATTTCTCCTTTGAAGTCCTCCAGAAGATTGTTAATATATTTTGTTGCTCCTATATTGTATGCCTATATATTTATCAAGGTTATATCTGCCTGTTGGATAGATCCTTTCAGTATTATGTAGTGGCCTTCTTTGTCTCTTATTATGGCCTTCATTTTGAAATCTATTTTATCAGATATGAGTGTTGCTACCCCATCTCTTTTTTTCCTTTCCATTTGCTTGGAAGATTTTTTTCCATCCCTTCACTTTCAACCTATGTGAGACTTTTTTTGTGAGATGGTTCTCTTGTAAACAACATATAAATGAGTCATGCTTTCTTATCCAATCAGCTACCGTGTGTCTTTTTATGGGAGCATTCAGTCTATTTACATTTAAGGTGTTTATTGATATGTACTTATTTATTGCCATTTTTATTTAGTGTGTTTCTATGTTTCTTCCCATTTCTCCTGCCAATTACAGAAGTCCTTTTAACATTTCTTGCAGCATTGGGTTGGTGCTAATGTATTCCCTTCGACTTTTTTTGTTTGAGAAGCTTTTTATTTGTCATTCTATTTTGAATGATAGCCTTGCTTGGTAGAGTAGTCTTGGATTCAGATTCTTTTTTAAACTTGATTATTTCATGCAATTCCCTTTTGGCCTGTAGTGTTTCTGTTGAGAACTCATATGAGAGCCTTTGGTTGTTTCTTTGTAGTTTACTTGTTGCTTCTTTCCTGCTGCTTTTAGTATTCTCTCTTTGTCTTTAATTTTTTGGCATTTTAATTACTATTTGTCTTGCTGTGGGCCTGTTTGTGTTCTTACTTGGGGCTCTCTGTGCTTCTTGAACTTGAATGCCTTGTTCCTTCATCAAATTAGGAAAGGTTTCTGTCATTTTTTAAAAAAATATATTCTCTAACCCTTACCTATTTTTTTCCTCTTCAGGGACTCCTATGATGCAAATGTTATTACCTATCAAAATGTGGAATGCTTCACAAATTTTTGTGTCATTTTTATGAAGGAGCCATGCTACCTTTCTCTGTATGGTTCTGATTTTAGTGTATGTGCTGCCGAAGCAAGCAGTACTCGGTGTCTTCTTATCAGAGCATTCAAACCATTCACATTTAAGGTGATAATTGATATGTTCTTATTTATTGTCATTTTTGTTTAGTGTGGTTATATTTTTCTTTCTATTTTTTCTACTAATTACATCATACAGCAGTCCTTTCAGCATATCTCACAGAGCTGTTTTGGTGTTAATGTATTTTCTTAGCTTTGTTTTTGTTTTTTTTTATTATTTTGTTTGTTTGTTTGTTTGTTTGTTTTGTTCTTGAAGCTCTTTATTTGGCCTTCTATTTTGAATGATAGCCTTGCTGGGTAGAATAGTCTTGAATAAAGATCTTTGTTTTTCATGACCTTGATTACTTCATGCCACTCCCTTCTGGCCTGTAGTGTTTCTGTTTAGAACTCAGCTGAAAGCCTTATAAGGTTTCCTTTGTAGGTAACCTGTTGCTTATCTCTTGCTGCCTTTAGGATTCTCTCTTTGTCTTTAATTTTTGGCATTTTAATTACTGTGTGTCTTGGTGTGGGCCTGTTTGCATTCTTCTTACTTGGTGCTCTCTGTCTTTTTTGAACTTGAATGCCTTCTTCCTTAACTATGCTAGGAAAGTTTTCTGTCACTATTTCTTCAAATATATTCTTTAACTCTTGCCCATTTTCTTCCTCTTTGGAGACTCCTATGATACGAATGCTACTATATTTCCGGTTGACCTATATTTCTCTTAAGCAATCTTCCTGTTATTTAATTGTTTGTTTGTTTTTTATTGGTTTTCTGATTGGTTGTTTTTTTCTACCCTATCTTCTAAGTCACTAATCTGGTCCTCAGCTTTTTGTACTCTGCTTATTATTTCTTCCAAAGTGTTCTTAATTTTTGCTATGTCATTCTACATTTCCACTTGTTTGGTTTTCAATATTTCTATATGTTTACTCATGGTACTGACGTTTTTACTCATGCTGTTGAGCTTTCTCAAGATCATCGCTCCGAACCCTAACTCTGATAATTTGCTTAAGTGGATTTCATTTATCTTATCTTTGATAGATTTCTCTTGTTCTTTCATTTGGGATTTGTTTCTTTATTTCACCATTTTGGCTATTTTAGTGGATTTTGGAGCCTGCCAAATTTCCCAGTGGGTGTTGTTGTTCTGCTCTTTTTGGCCCCCTCTCCTGTGTTTGGATGAGCTTGGGTGGGCCCATGTTAAACACCATTGTCAAGTCTTACTTTTCTGTGTAGATTGGTAGTCCCAGGAATCGTTCAGTTATCCTCTAGCTTTTTATTGGAGGTTAGTAGTCTCAGTTACCCAGTGCCTTGGAATGTAGCCCTGGTGTTCTGCATAAGAGAATTTCCAGAGTATGGGATAAATGCTGGTTGTTAATGGGCCTCTATATTTGTTTTTTTGTTTTTTGCCTCATCTGGGAAAGTTTGAATCTTTGAGTGGGAGACTTCTGCTTTTACCCACAGCTCTGAGAAGGAACACACTGGACACTGTCCTTTGTGGCCCCAACTCAACAAAAACTCTAAGTGTTCCCCACATAGTTCCAGCCCAGTCTGCCCTTTCTTGGCTGTAGTCCCATGTCAGTGGATGTGGCTATTTTAAAACCCTGTCCCAGCTCTCTATGCTGAGGAGCTGGCTTGGTCATTATTCCCCAAGGGCTCTGCTCACAGCTAAGACTGCTGCTGTCCTCGGGGTTCCAGCCTGCTATCTTTGCATGCCTCCGCAGATCCTACCAGTGTCCCTGGTAATATGGTCTTGTGCTGCTGCTTTTCTGTTGCTTTTTATCTGAGGATTTGTCTTTATTTTAGTGGTAATACCCATTTGGTCCTGGGAGATTGTCTGTGTAGCTTCTATTAACTCTGCCTCTGTTATCACATCCTTTATGCCTATCTTGTGTGCAGCTGGGTTGCACAGGCCTCTCTGGTGCCCCTGCACCTGCATTTTTCACAGGTAACTGGATCTTACAGTCCATTTTTGGACCCGTTTTTATGCCTATCTTATGAACTGCTGTGTTTCACAGGCCTCTGTGGTGATTCAACACCCCACAGGTCCCACAGGTGACTGGATGGCACAGTCCCTGGTTGGTCACACTGGCCTCTCTGGTGCTTCAGCACCCCATGGGTACCATGGGTAACTGGATCACACTTTTTTTTGCTGGATTGTACCAGCCTCTGTGTTGCCCCTGCACCCTGAAATTCCTTTGGCGGGCAGCTGGATTGCCCCAGTTTCTCTTGGGCTCAGGCTTCTCACTGATCTTGTGAACTGCTGGACCTCACAGGCCTCTGTGGAGCCCCAGGTCCCACAGCTGGCAGCTGAAGAGTGCTTCTGCCCTGTGGGGCTCAACTCCTACTCAGCTTTTACTGTAGTTTTTGGAAATGGGTCTCAACTGCTGGTTTCTGCTTCTATTGTCTGGGGATGGATATCTGTTCCCCAGCCTTTATTGACTCTGATCTGACTGCTACTATGGGGGATGGTGCTGGGCTCCTGGTTGTCTGAAGCTTCCATGATCGGCACCTTGAGAGCTCCACTACTGTGCACTGGTCTGTGTTGACACAGAGTGTCCACTGCTCTGATGGTGCCAGCTGCACTGGTGGGCTCAGGTTGCTGGGCCCCATCTTCTCACACTGCCTCCTCCCAGGGAATACCCGGGATCTTCCAAAATGGTGAGACCTCCCCACAGCACATGGAAAAGTGCCCTGAAGAGCAGCTTACCATGGTAGCCAGTTGCTCCCATCCACAGCACAGGAACCTTCTGCTCCGTGGCTTTGCTCTGCACGAGTTTTATGGTTCACCCCCACATCCACTCACACTCTCTCACACACAAGCTCATTCTCTCACACAGTCACTTTCCCTTTGGTTCTGCCAGCCACCATCTTCTTAGCTTCTTTTTCGTTGAAATGTATTTTAAAAGCACTTAAATATAATAGTCATATAATGGTTTATTACAATAAATTTTTTCCATTAAATTTTTTCATTTTTTTATTATTTTTCCAGCCATCTTTTTAATATGTATGAAGAGTCAACAAAGAACGCAAAAAATTAAATATGAATTAGCTCTCTTCACTTTTTCTGATGGGTTTCTGTTTTGATGAGCAACCATGGTCCTGGAGAAAAATGTATTATTAACACTAAAAACAAAAACAAAATTTACTCCACTAACTGATTTTTCCCAGCTTTCTACTCAGGTTAGACAATAAGTTTATTACAACCCAGAGAGAAATACCTCATATAGATGTATAAAGTAAACATGGTGGTCTACTCTTATATTTCTTAAGAAAGTAGACATCTAAACTTATAAGTCACCAATTATTAGTGAATAATTTACAATATTTCCAGGGCTCTGGCTTGTATACAAGTATTTTTATTGCCTCAGGTGACTGGCATAAATATTTATGGTTGATTCCTTTATGGGGGACTGTTTAACACAGTTTTTTCTCATTCTTTTAAAATTTTAAAAACGATTTTAGAGAAAGATGAAGAGGGAGAGAGAGATAGAAACACTGATGAGTGAGAACATCAATTGGCCACCTCCCGCATGCCCACCAACCTGGTCATTTGCCCTGACTCGGAATCAAACTTGTAACTTCTTGGTGCATGGATCCATGCTCAACCACTGAGTAACATCAGCCAGTTTAATTTGACACATTCTGAGAAAAATAGGTGAATATGGAATCATTCTCTTAAAGAAGCATATGTCTTGACAGAATCAGATTTCTAAGTCCAGCACATGATTTGACATTCTTTATACAACCTTAAGCAATAGGCCTATACTTGTGCATAAACATTCTAAGAAATAATTAATTTTACTATTAAAAACTTTTAATTTAAAAATATGGTGGCAGGTAGGACTGGAAGGAGGTTGAGTGTGTGAGAGAATGAATTAGTGTATGAGAGAGTGTGAGTGAACATGAAGGTAGATGACCAAACTTGTGCAGTGCAGAGATGTGAAGCAGAAGGTTTCTGTGCTGTGGACAGGAGCAGCTGGCTAGCTTGGTAACCTGTTCTCCAGGGCACATCTTCCTGTGCCACAGGGAGGTCCCACCATTTTGGTAAATCCTGGGTCTTCCCTGGGAGGAGACAGTGGGAGTGGATAGTGCCCAGGACCCTAGGCACACCAGTGCACCTGGCACCATTGGACTAGTGGACACCCTGTGTCAACACTGAACAGTGCACAGTAGTGGAGTTGCCAAGGTGCCCACTGTAGAAGCCAGAGAAGGCCTGGATCCCAGCACTGTCCCCCATAGTAGCAGCCCAATCAGAGTTGAGATATATCCCCAGCAACAGAGACTGGGGAGGAGACATCTATCCCAAGACAACAGAAGCACAGACTCGCAGCTGAGACTCATCCCCAAAAACTACAGAAAAGGCTGCGGAGAAGTTGAGCCCCAGGGGCAGCAGCACTCCCCAGCCACCAGCAGTGGGACATGGGGCTCCACAGAGGCCTGTGCGACACAACAGGCCACAAGAGTGGTGGGAAACCAGAGCCCCAGATGAACTGGTGTAATCCAGCTGCCTGCCTTTGGGACTTGCAGGGTGTGGGAGCACCAGAGAGGCCTGTGCAACTGAGCTGCTCACAAGATAGGCTTAAAGCCAGTTTTCCAAAGGGACTGTGAAATCCAGTTACCCATGGGACCTGTGAAGTGCTGAAGCACCAGAGAGGCCTGTGGGACCCAGCTGCTCACAAGATAGGCTCAGCTCCCAGTCTCCAATGGGACTGTGTGATTCAGCTGCCTGTGAGACCTGCGGGGTGCTGGGGTACAAGAGAGACCTGTGTGACGCAGATACCCACAATATAGGTGTGGAGTCAGGTCTCCAAAGGGACTGGGAAATCCAATTGCCCACAGTACGAGCAGGGAGTGTGGCTCCAAAAAAGCCTGAGCTACACATGACCAGCTAGGAACACAGCTCTAGAGGAGCCCACTTGATCCAGCTGTAGCACCTACCAGGATACACCAATTCCAACCCTGAGTAGTCAATCCTCCAGGATCCACCGCAAGCAAGAGGTGACACACAACAAAAAAGTCTGG